AAATATTATCCTGACAAAAAAAAAAGTGAAAAGAAAGTGAAATATAGAAAATATGAACTGTGCCTTAGAGATCCTTCCTCCAGACCGTTTTTTTAAAACCCTTTCACTACTGCCCTGTTGCAGGTGGAGTTGTCCTGTCCCTCCGGCTGGACACTGACCGACTGTAGCGCTGTCTCTCCTGGCTCTGTCATCTTAGCGCCAGTTGCTAAGGGGAACAGTTGCCATGTCGGCAGTGCATCAGGAGCTGGCGGGGCTGCTGGCGTCGTTGTCTGCTGCCGCGTCAGACAACCAGAGCAGCGCCGCGCTTCACCTCCTCCCTGATCTCGCCTCACTCCACTCTGATGTCCTACAGCCTTTATATTTCTGTAATGTTGACTGGAAGGAAACACACACTCCTCTTGCTTTGTCTTCTTTGTGGTGCAGGGAATGTATTCACGGATCTAATTTTAAAGAAAAAGGTAAATTCCAGGAAACACTTTTCACCTCTGCATTGATCAACTTAAAAATAGTTGAAAGTTCAGAAACGAATTGATAAAGGATCTAAGACTGAAACGCAGAGCGGTTGACAAGTGTGTGCTGGCATTGACTTGAACTCTTTGAAATTAGGTGTCTATTGATATCATCTATAACTTTGATCAGTTGTCAACGTTTGTCTGTTTCTCAGTTTTAGAATTAGTTCAGATATGCCCTAGCAGATATTGTTCTATTCATTTAGAACTGTCTTGTATGCAGTTTATAAAATATAACCACAAATATTATATATCTTTTACAAAGGAAATATTCTGAAAAAGCTTTCCCCGAACCTGTGGTTAATTGAATACATTCTATATTAGGTGATATATTGAAACTGATTGTGGCACCCTGGTAAGGCCTACATGTCCCAGGATGCATTGCATGTGGGGTTCTGAGGCACAGGGTCTCCACGGGCCATATCCTCGGCTTTTGTTGCTGCTGACTCAGCTCTGTCTGCCCTGCATTTTTTGGCCATTTACTCAGGCTTCAATGATCATGTCTGAATATCCAAGATTTATCTAGAGCTCACAAACTGGGTGCCCATAGCTTCCTTGCGCAAAACTACGTCACCGTTACTTCAAAAGACAATCACATTTTGAAGCGGCCTACTCATATTTCCCGATAAATAAACTGGCACTGAGGAATGTATTGCTTCAGTCGACTATATTTGCAACAACATTGATTGGTCTTCCACTGAGGCGGTAACATTTAGTAGAGGTAGTAGAAGTAGAGGCAATACACATTCTCTAACCAGAGGGTAATCAAGTAATACCTCTTTTTCACAGCAGACATTAACAAAGGTCATCTTATATTCAGAGTCCCAGTAAGACATGACAGTGGGACAGTATCAGGACCCTGGACTAAAGCAGCTGAAATGTAACTCAGTCATCATTCATTTTATTATTTACAGCCGGGATTTTCCTACAGTCATGTCAGAATGTCTTTGTGAAAAACTCATATTAAAAGACAGTTGACAAACACGGACGCTCAGCAGTTTAGTCAAATCAGGGCTGAAATATCCATCAGTGCAGAAATCATTTTCACACACGTAATAGTGTTTACAGTTCTGAGTGTAGGTGAAAATCAGGCAGCAGCAGCAGCAGCAGCAGGATTGTGGGTAATAATCTGCCTGAATAATGATGAGCCAGACATCTTCTGCTCTCTCTCTCTGTGTGCGTTCCCACAAAACAATTAAACAGCCGTCTTGAATGCTTGAATAAATTACATGTGTCTGTCCTGGGCATTGAACTGCATTTATGTGAAGTGAATAAAATAAAGTGAAAAACACAATGCTATTTAAACCAAGCACACTCAAAGGACTTTGATTTAAAGATGTCAGCATGGAGAGCACCACAGAGCAGAGCATGAGTGGATTGAAGTTTGATTGGCACAGGAGATGTGGTTTCATCATTGCTAAGGTGATACAATGCGTCATGATTTATGTCTCATCAGATTAGATTATTCTCTACAAAAACAAAAGCCACCACATTAAGCTGGGTTTATTCTTAAAGTGGAGCTCACCTCATTATGAGCCCAATGTTACTTTTTCACAGCATCTTACTTGAGTTATCATTGAGGAACAGCACAGGTGTACTAATGACTATAATACTGCTCTATTAATAACAGTAAAACAGATTGTGCAACAACAGGATCTTAACACTGAAGTGGTTCAAATAATTCATTAAATCATCATCACCTGTGCTTTTCTTCCAGTGATGTCAAAAGTCTTCAATAAAAAAAGGTCTATTCATTGTCTGCTGTATCAAACCAGAATATGCTACAGAAATCAACATGAAAAGGTAACAAAAACAAAACCCTCAAGGTGCACCAACATTTTGTAATGTGACAAGGTGTAAACATACATAAAAACAATGTTTACAAAAGGTTGTGCATTCCAGTTTATTTTATATCAAATTTCCCCTTATTCAAACTCTGATGTACAAATTAAAACTGAGTTTTAACATGCATTACAGAATCCTGCGATGGCAGAAGTGAAGTCTCAAAATCGAATAACTGTAAAAACCCGTACAGATGCCAATCCCTTCCCACGCCCTGCATCCCAGGATTAAAACAACGATTGTTTGGAAGTTTTTTTTCTTTTTTCTTTTTAAGTAGTCGTGGTGATGTAGCAGTGGGGGAACACGTAGGAGACGCTGTTGGATGAATGTGGCTCATGTTGCCATGTATCTCTTGGCACAGACTGCATGCAGCTCCATCAGACAGAGAAGGGGCCAATGATGTGAAAGTGAGTGCTAATGACCAAATAACACAGCAAAAAACACATGTGGGGGGGGGGGGGGCGTGTTTTTTGTATCTCTGTCACACAAAAAAGACAACTGGGACTTGAGCGGCCGAACAGCCATGCAGCCGCGTTGCCGGGGAGGACAGCAGCGGACGTGAATTCAGCAGTGCGCTGTAGAGACGGAGAGTGAAAGTGGGCTGGATGGCGGGGCCCTGGGGGCGGTGGGTGGGGGCGTTGGCGGAGCAAACAGACGAGCTGAGCGAGCAACGTGCTGGTTGCGCCGGGGCGGGCCCCGTGGGCTTTGAGCGACTGCGGAACAGAAGCATGAGGGGCGCGGCGGGCTCGGTGCTACCGAGCCGGGATGAGGCGTGCACCGAAAGCACGGCGGTGATAAACGCGCGGGAGGAGCGATGGGTGTGACGAGAGCGCGCGGGCGGTGCGAGAGGATTAATTTCTGGGGAGAACAGTGTGGAGCGGCGCGGGGGGGGGGAGCTCAGAACGTGCGGCGGCGGGGGGGGGGGGGTTTGAGGTACGAAAACTGAGCTGTCCAGTGAGTCTGAAGCCGGTTTGTGTGATAGGTACCGAGAGCACTAGGGGGGCCTACTCTCCTCCAGTGACACAGCGTGGCAGCCACGGCACACAACATACCGCGGGTTGTGCTCTCGTGCTCGCGGACGCGCGCGCGCTATCTCTGTCACACAAAAAAGACAAACTTCACCACCACTTACTGCCACACATGCAAACGTGCCGAGAGACAGCACGACGTGACATTCACATCTAGAGAGAGAGGGTAATGGGCCGGATGGGGGGGGGGGGTGGAGGGGATAAAACAGCCTCTTCTCAGGCTCTGAGGACGCACAGAGTCTCAGTGGATTGATCACTCGACGACTCCCAACAGAAAAACGGTTTTGAATGATTGCTTGATAGATTCTCACACTGTAAACATTGACCTGTTAAAGCTGAGAGCTAATCCGCTAAGCTAGTTTAGGCTCATGTCTTCAGAACGTTTCAGTGAACATGTGGCTTCTTTAAAACTACCTAGCATACATCTGTATCTACAAAGTGTCTCTGCTTGAGTGCAGAGTGAAAAGAAGCAGCATTTTACCATTACACCCCCCCCCCCTCCCCCATACACACAGAATCAACAGTTACATTCCTACAATCCTTTGTCACAACACACAGAGGACATTTCCCCTGTCTTATTTTGGGTCTAATGGGGATGAAGAAGCCCTGTTGTACTCCGATAGCGAGACTATCTGGCCACGTGGACACTGGTTGGGTGTCGCGGTCAGGCGGAGCAGATGTTGACCCACCTCCTCAGAGATGTGATAAGAGTTTTCGGAGGTGGGACGGGGGAGAGATCGAAAGGTTAAGGCACTTCAAGTCTCCCGATGACTGGGGGCAGGGACGATGGATTCACTGGTGCTGTTCTGCTGGGAAACTAGAGCTACATTTGGGTTCAGCTCCTCTGTGTGTGTGTTTCCAAAAGGTAGAGACAAAAGCAAAAAAAAGGCCAAGCGAAAAAAGAAAAACACCATTGAAAAAGACAAAAAAACGAATCAAACCTGATAAAGCAGAGGTAACAGTAATGTGATAAGGACCTGCTCGTTGTGTTCGTGAGCGGAGTGAATGAGTGACACACGTTAGCATGGTTTTCACAAGTTCTATCACGTGTGTATTGGCACCTCAAAAGAAAACATGCTCCTGAGCTTCCCCTCAGTCGGCACTGACGGCCCACCACCACTGACCTGTGCACTTCCAGATCAGCTTTTTCTTGCATAAGGCTTGAGTCCCTAAACATCCTCTCCAATATTCAATGCATCCGGAGTCAAAGAAAAAATGGCAACGAAAATAAAAAACAGCGATAAAAAATAATAAAAATCCAGCACATGGGGGGGCTGCCTGACAGCGAGACGACGTGAACAGAGGAAGAGTGCGGACCATGGCACTGCATTTTTCGAAAGATGTGATGAGGCCGTGTCCTGTTTATGGGACAGAGCCCTGTACTGCGGCCCTGGTGAATGGTTAAGTCACGCAAAGCTATCAGGGCTTCCATGTGTCGGCATAAGTGGCACTGAAAATATAAGTTGTTAAAAGCAAGAAGGAGAGGACACGATGGCGAAGAGGCTCTAGAGGAAGTGACCAGTTCAGCTGTACATCACAATAGACTGGGCTGGACTATAAAGTGCATACTTAACCCCAACCCCCCCCCCCCC